GGCTCATGTCTAGCTTTTTATCCCCCAGTACTCCCAAGTTCTTCTTGGCAGGGCTGCTCTCAGTCCCTTCCTCCCCCAGCCTGTATTGATACCAGGGGTTGCCCCAACCCAGGTGCAGGACCTTACACTTGGCCTTGTTGAACCTCATGAGGTTCACACAGGCCCACTTCTCAAGCTTGTCCAGGTCCCTCTGGATAGCATCCCGCCCCTCAGGCATGTCGACCACACCACTCAGCTTGGTGTCATCTGCAAACTTGCTGAGGGTGCACTCGATCCCACTGTCTATGTTATTGAAGAAGACATTAAACAGTACCAGTCCCAGTACAGACCCCTGAGGGACACCACGTGTCACCGATCTCATCTGGACATTGAGCCATTGACCAATACCCTCTGGATGCGACAATGCAACCAATTCCTCACCCACCGAACAGTCCAATTTAGAGAGAAGGATGTTGTGGGGGACCGTGTCACAATGCTTTATGAAGAGCACCAGTGAAAGTAATACAGTGTTTTATTTAACTTGTCACCCATTCTGCAAGATAAAACAAGTCACAAGAAGCCAAGAATCTGAATGAGCTTTTCCACTTAAAGAATTCAATGAAAAAAAAGTGAGGCAACATCTCAAAAGGTATGACAGTCAGAGGCTGACTATTTCACACTGATATTTTTAACTGCACCAAATTCCTCAGCTATGGAATTGTTCCCTCAGCGTAGAGGCTGGAAGCTGGAGTGGTCATGTCAGAACTAAGGCTGGAGAATAAAGAAAACAACCCTACACTGGCCAGTTTAAGGTATGACTAACACAAATGACTCAGCAACTTACTCCACAGGAACACTGATGGGATAAGCGAATTCCAAGGGACCTTTACTAAGAACCTAAGAATGGCCTACTGGGTCTTTGAGTGTCCATTTATCCCAGTTGTATGGATCCCTAGGGAAAAATAAGGACAAGGAAACCTGCTTCCCAAATAGCCTCCCAGCCTCCAATTGTTTTCCACACCAGGGATTTCCTGAGCCAGACAGTTTGCCTATTTAGAGATATGACAATGGTGTTCTCTTCTAGCTATTCAACAGTCTCCCCCAAGCTCACGCAAGCTTTTAACATCTCCAACATCCCATGGCAAAAAGCTCCAACAATCTGCTGTATGCATAACTCCTCAAGTCAGCAATCTGAACATAAGTCAGCAGAACACCACTGCAGCAACAAAGGCAACATAGATCCTGGGCTGCATCCACAGACGCATTAGTAGCAGAGAGATGTGAACATCCCCCTCTACTCAGCATTTATCAGGTTGCACCTGGAATACTGTGTCCACTTCTGGACAGTCCAAAGGAGGGCTGTTAAGATCAATGGGCTGGAAAAACTGATCTATGAGGCAAGACTGAGGGAGTTAGGTCTTTTCTCCCTGCAGAAAAGAAGGCTTAGGGAGGAACTGATCACAGTATTCGTACCTAAAAGGCAGCTAGAAAGAGGATAGAGGCTCTCTCTTCACAAGGAGCCACATTGAGAAGACAAGGGGCAACAGGTACAAGTTGTACCAGGAGAGGTTTCCTCTTAATAGAGGAAAGATTTACAGTGAGAACAATCATTTACTGTAATAACCTCCCCAGGAATGTGGTAGAGTCCCCATCACTGAAGGCTTTCAAGATGTGACTGGACAGGGTGATAGATAATCTCATCTCAGCTCCCCTTCCCACAAAAGGTTCAGCCAGATGATTTCTTGAGGTCCCTTCCAACCTGGGCTGTTCTATGGTCCTGTGAACCTCCCTTTGTTTATTAGCGTGTCTCCCACTTCCTTCATTTGAAGGCTCCTCATAGTGTATTCTTTTATCAGAAAAAAAGCAAAAACAATTTCACTTATCTTTTCCATGCCACTCATTATTCTGAGGACCTCTATAATCTATCTTCATCTCCTTCTCCTAGCCTTAGAGCCCTCAGTCACTTCCACTCTTCGCATATTTTCCCCCTTCAATCATTTTGATGAGTTTTGTGTTACTATTCTGGAAGCTCTCCAGCCTCTTTAGCACCCCCTTTCTCCTAAAGTATTAGGAAGAGTAACTCAAATAGTCCTGTTTTGTTACCTTCTCCTTTAGGAGCCCTCAAGGAACCTAAAATTTAAATCCTGACTGACAGCCATACCCTCCACTAGCACAGGAGTTACTACAAGGTAACTATAATGCTACCATATAATCTCATGGCCTGTAAGAGATAGGACACAACTTCATTTTCACTGAACAGTAGGCTTTCCTCTGTACCTACAAGTAGCACCAGTGCGTAAAATCAAGCCTGCATGACATGTAGGACTGAGCTGGATGTGCACAAGCTACTAGTCCAATGCTGAACTCCAAACTACTGTCTGCAGTCCGCAAGAAAAGTTATAAAGCACATCCTGCCCCTGCAGATGGTGAACCTACCTGTCCCAGATCAAGTGGGATTTGGATTCATTAGTTGTCCAGGAAAGTATAAGAGTTCAGCTGGGAAGCCACAGACCCTGCAACTCACTTCAATATGTAGCTCAATTGTGAGAAGTAACAGGATACAAAGAATTCTTCGCCCTTTCTTGACCTATTCCTGGCTCTGAGCAATATATAAGCACATTAAACAAATTCTACAGTTGTTTCCTTACTCCCGTGGCTCACCTTTTTCCTAATAATTAAAATGCTTCTCACTGTACCTACCATTTGCATGCACGTTAATGCCAGGGAAAACAGCTTCCTGCTCTTAATGAAGCCTGTATAGATCACAAAAGAATCCAAATGTAATGATGAGCAAAGGAAATAGTACAAACCTGCGATAGCGGGGACGATAGGTAGGATTCCTATGAACTTGTTGATGAAGTTGTCCTCCTTCTGTGACCCCATCCTTGATTTCTCCCTCACCACCCTACAGCCAAAAGAAAACAGAAGACAGAGTCAAAGATGAAGTGTTATCTTATTTCACAGGCAGTATATTAACTATAAAGCCCAAAGATCTGAACACAAGTTCAAAACCAGTGTATCAGTACAGAAACACCAGGTAAAGCATACCAGGTAAAAAGAAGCAGCAGATACTCAAAGCTTTAATTTGGGCAAAGGTAAGAGTAGGACAGAACAAGAGCCAATAACACTGCCCTTGTTCCTCACAGTAACAGGCTAAGCTATCTGACAATACCTCCTCCCTGTCTGCCAAGAAAGGTAGAGAACCTGACAGTTCTCTGATGCCTATGAAAGTACATTTCAAGACATAATATTGCACTGTAAGGGGTAAACATGTTATGGAGAGGCAACTGTTCAACAGGACACTTCTGAATTTGGAAACCTAACTGAAAGACATCACACTGAAGCTCGCCAGAGACCACTTCTGGCTTCATTCTACACAAAGCCCTATTCCACAGAGAACTCCCACAAAAACCATGAAGAAATTTAAAGACAGAAAAACTGTACTACATCATGTCAAATACTCTCGTACACTCAACATTTTCAACCTTTCAGAGATGCGGTGGTTATCTTTCCCCTTTAGTTGTTAAGTGATAAAGCTGTATTTCATATTTTTTCCTAGTTTTGTTTTTTAAAATGCCAGCCATCAGTAATGTAATGTTTTATAAAACATTACATGATTTATAGTTCCCATTGTATTATTCTTCCCTTTAAAAGAAAGAATTTAACAAGAGATCTGGAAACAGAAGTGCATCTTCTGCATCTCATCAGGAAACAAAAGCTATTGCGGAAACAAAAGCTATTGCTTCCTGACAGCCTTCAATAGTCTACACTAAGTTTGACAGGTCTCCTTCCAATTCTACACAGCTATTTTAACCATCACCATCATATTTTGCTCTATTTTAACTGGCAATCTCAGGTAACTGCGTGGGCAGTGAACTTTTCTTTAGCTAAGATAGCATGATGATAAACACTTAGAAAGGCTGGAGCACTGTAGGTTGTAACAAGAAATCTTGGGGAATTAAATGAACGTCAGTGACCAACCTGGACAATCTTCTCTCCAAATACCCTCCAAATGCATTAATAATTTCAAGAACTCTTTGTAGCTTTCCAAGTTTCAAAAAAGCACAGAGACATGGCCTAAAGGCAACTGGAATATTTCACATGCTGTACCTAGAAATAGCTATACCAGCTATTCTTAACAATATGACAGGGTCAGCTGCTGAGGTAGAGAGAAATCAGCATTCAGTTAAAAAACCCACAATCATAAATAACATTATCCATTATGTTCCCTCATGTATAAAACTGATCAGGATAACTAAATATCCACAGGAACTCCCACTGACTAAGTAGATAATAATAACAGGTAGCATCTGATAGCAGCTGAGAAGTATGAGAGACTCAGAACCCAAAAGGAAAATTACACTTCTGAGCTTACGACAGCATTATACTAGTATCTACTTTGCAATACCATTCTGTCCTGTTTGCATCAAGATACTTTGTACTACATAACTTTACAGTTTAATAGACCTGTGATGGGTGGTCAGAAGCATCTCAGACAGTAAGGTCTAGCACAGCTAGTATTGTGATTCAGAGGTCTTGGGATTTGCCTTTTGTGAAGCAAGGACCTAATGCTGCTCCTGATCTCACTCTCTTCCTCACATGAGGACTGGCAAAGCACAGAAACAGGAGGAGAGAGCAGCAAGATGTGAAGGGAAGAGAGGACGCAGAACTAAAACAATCCTGAACATGTTCCAGCACAATCACCATTTCTCTTTTCCAGGATTTCTGAGCAAGCACACATGGAATCTGCACTCAGTTCTAGCACTGCAATACCAGAAATATGGAACCACAGAGGCCTAGTAGGTCTTGTCTGAGGGATAATGTGCTGGAAGCTAACAAAGCATCAACCAACCTAATCGTAGTGAGGGGCACACAACAATATTCTTCATCAGCCAAAGCTCTCTTATAGTACTTGGCAATCAGCATCACATTCACAGCTCTTTAAAAGGCAGTATTGAATTTCTACATGTTTTTAATGGCACAGCCCAAGTTCACTCCTCCCTACAAAGGGCTGCATTGGAATCTCAGATAAAAGACTCCATCTCCTGAAAGAATGACTGAACCTTGAAAGCAATGCAAACATTTTCCTATTCATCTTGAACTGAATGTTGCTATGTCAGTATTTTAAATGGGTTTGGCTTAAACAATCAGTTGAAAACAGAATAGCGAAGGAACTGGGTTGCTTAGCCCAGAAGTTCTGATAATTTCCTGCATCTCCTATAGTATCACAAAAATTCAATTAACACATTACACTAGTATCACTGTCAATTGATCTAGGTCTATGGGCCAGAAGTGAAGTATGGCTCCAGAATAAAAGTCAGAAGTCACTGAAACAGGTGCAATTTGACCAGAAAACAGAACCTGAGCTTTGTGGTCTTGTTTTAGTATACTGACAGTAAGTATATTAGATTTATTTATTAGGAAAGCTCTATTTGTACTCTTAAAAGTACCACACCATGTCTAGCACACACATGATCCAGTTCACTCAGTCTCCTCCACAGGAACCTTCCAACTCACTGTAATACCTTCTAACAAAACATTATGTCATTCTAAAGGACAAATGAATGAAGCTGGTCTGCTGCACTCTGTTTTCCTCTGAAGATGACTAAAATAGGCAGGCTGGCTGTGATTCCCCATGAAGATCTCACACAGATTTCTCTAGCCCTAAAATAGTACAAAATTTTATTGCTGTCCCCCAAAGAAAAGCTTTGTAAGCATTAACTGTAACTGCAATGAGCTTTTTACTCATTTACTTCCCCTAATTTCTTCTTCATTTGTTCTTACATCTCTTCAGATCAGTCTCTAGCTTTTGTGTAATACTATTAATCTTTTCAGGTCTCCTCTCTACAAGAAAGAGTCAGCCTATAAAACAGCTCTCAAACTATTTTGCTTATTTTCCGACTCACTGGCAGAGGCTTCTTCTATTAGTAATGCACACAGTATGTACATGAGGACATCATCAGTTCTCAAGGTTATTCCATGATTCATTGTCTGTTCTAACATCCTGACTATAGCTCCACACACATGTCTATGTTGTCACAGTTCAATGAAGAGCACAGCCTCTTTTCTGTAGTAGATACAGTTAAGAAATTTTTCATATGAACAAGTACTTCTACTTTCCACAGAATTCTCCATGCAATCCAGACAGTTGCATTGGAGCTGGTTAAATACCTCAGATTCCTCCAGGTTCTCTTCACTCAAGAAATCCACACGTGTTCAAAACCAGACCCAGTAAGTTACAGGCAGAGTACAGACACATTTGAGCTAGCATGGCAAACAAAGGATAGCATCTTTGGTTTGCCTAAAATCATGCCAGTAAGCAAGGATACATCAACTCTTGCTGCGCTGCAAGGTTGGACTGGAGCTGCTAACAGACATCAATTAAGAGTTCTTAAAACCTGGAAGGCCACCATGTCAAAAGTCATCTCAACAAATTAAACAATTTTTTTCAGTAAATACAGGATTGATGATGTGGGCAGCTGAGCTCTGAGAAAACCTTTCACCTCTGCAGCCTAGTAGATCTTTAAGCATAGCAGGCCTGGGTACACTGAAATCTTTTCTTTTAGGCATGCAGCAAAAGTTGCCTGCAGCTGAGTAAATATCCTTTCAGCAAACACAGCCCAGAGTGCCATACCATCAGCAACTCAAACTCTCAGAAATATCCTGCAGGACAGTTAGCAAAAAACACTTCCTCAAGTAGAGAGGCACAACCTTTAATGCACCTGTTAATGGGATCATACAGAATAGTGTATACATACTGCTATGGCTCACAGATATTGCTACCTTTCTCCCCCCTTTACGCACATGGGAATGGAAGGGGAAAGAGGAAGCCTTGTTAAAGGAAAAGGATATTAGAAAGAAGCATCTTTCTAGATGCAGTAGACATGCAGTTTCAATGTGAAGAAAGTATTAACTGATGCAAGTGAAAAATCTGCAAAAGGAAATATTGATGGCCAAGTTTGAGTGGTTTCACTGACCTACACTAGGACAACTTCAGAGACAGTCCCTGAACAGCCCTTTGCAGTCCCTGCAAAGACTTCCTTAAAGTGGAGCTTCGACTTGTTCAGGCAACTAATAAGTGAGTGGGTAAGAAGGCCCAGCAGAATTGGTTGCACCTCAAACTAGCTCAGAACACAAGAAGGGTCCACTGCAACATGCAGAAAGTTGAGCAGGCATAGCAGAACATCAACTTTGGCTGCACAAGGAACTCTTGACTGAGCTCAAATATGAAACAGAAGTATCACTTAAACAAGTCTTACACATACAGGACTACACAGGATACATTCAAGAGTGCTGAAGGAGCTGGCCAGTGTCACTGCCTGGCCAGTATCATCTTTGAAAGGTCACAGCAACCATGGAGTTTACTTTGTTACCTGTTAGAGTGGCATGCTAAGGGAATAGTAGCATAAGGTCTTCATCATCTTTGAATGAAACAGAATTTACTCTTAACAGATGATACCAAATCCAGAGAAGCAGTCAATGCATTGATGGGAAGACCTGACATTCAGAGGATACTCAACAAGCTAAAGAGAAGGACCAAACCTCATGAACAAAGGGAAACAATGAACACCCAGGTTAATGTCCTTTTGTAAATTATCATTTGCAAGTTTTGAAGGCTGTAATTCTTCCAGAGTCAATGATCTCAGAGAAAGAGCAGTATGTTTTAGGTTATGAAATGAGAGATGACTTCATAGGACATCAGGCACTGGTCACACAACAGCTAAGGTCTGGTACCCACACCAAATCAGTCTGGGGACTCAGATATAAGCAAGCCAAAGGAAAAGTGTGACATCACAATTTTTTGCCCCTTGTGTACATCTTCAAGTACCAGGATCCAACTGTGTTAGTGTCACATGCAAACAAGATTTTTAGCTGCATGAGTTTGTGTTAGACATCCAAGAGAACATGTCCCCACACGAGTACCCTGAGACTGAATGTTCCCCATGTCCAAGTTAGGTCTTGCATTGTCACTCTTCAGGCAGAAAGAAACAGCTGCTTTCCACACTCAGCAGTACACAGGGTTGTCTAAGCCTTGATATGTCTGCTCATTTAAAGTCTGAAGCAGCTCCAAGACAACACCAATACCACCAACTAAAGCATTCACTCCCAATAAAGACAGTTGAGGGAGATTTTCATCTCAGGAGAGCAAAAGGAAACAGAATCAATACTGGAATGTAGCTGGTTGATGAGCTAACAAATAAGACTGGAAACATCAAAGCGCTGAACAAAACCAAGTATCCTAGTTCTCTACCACTTGGCGTGAAAGCTGAAGCTGCAAACTGTATTGACACAAAAACAAAGACATACTCAGTAATAAGCCATCAGTTACCAGCACCAACTTCTAGCCGTCTCCAAGGGACTCAGGAAGAACACCTTTCACATATTTAAGGCTCAGTGGTGGCCAGCAGGATTAAAGAAAAGACCTCATGATAGCTAGTAAAACAGCTAGGCTTTAAAGAAGGATTTGACAACATTTTTTCCATTCGCCCCCCCTGTAGAACAAGATGAGAAGAAAGTTATGTTGCTTGGGCAGAGACTTCCACCATGGCTCTCATATTGGATCATTCACACACTTCTGCAAGAGATGATCACAGACTCAACTATTAAAGAAAAGATAAATCAAGCCTGGAGTATGTTCCAGTTAGTTGAATTGTTCCAGTCACCAATTTAGCACAAGCACGATGTGGACAGGAGTAGTAACTGCTAGAACTACAGCCATGTACCTCATACTTACTCCCCCCTCTGCAAAAGCTTGCAGAGAAGCTTCTTAGGAAGGCTTGCAGATGTTATGAACAGTGGTGCGTAGCTACTTTAGAGAAAAAATGCATCCTTACACTAAACTGCTGTAGGCAGAGGCCTATGAAGGGACAGTACATGGAGGTTTCAACTAGTTGGTCAAACTACTACCATGTCATGCAGAAGTGACAAACTTCTAAACAAATCCCATTTTCCAAGTAACCTTCCCAAGTTATGGTTATACTACTTAGAGTAATATAAATATTTCCCCTTGCTTCAGGTAAAGGGCATGGTGAACCACTTAGGTGTCTCACTTCTTTGTGTTTACTCTTAAACAGATGCTTTTAACACATTCTAGAAAGACTTGCCAAGGAAAGGCCTACAGGACACCCAATAATAGAAAGTATCAGTATCAACATCAATGATGTGCTGGAGGAACCCAGAATATTACTGAAGAACACTCACAACTTAGTTAAGCATTGACAGTTTACTATATGCCAGTGCTGAACCTGTAGTTCCCTCTCACGAGAGGGCTGGAAGCAGGATGACCACCACTAAAGAAATTAAACTTACACTTCGAGGTGGTCCACGGCGTCGGCCAAAATAGCCACGTCGATAGCGGCGCCGGTCTGCAGCATAGCGGCTGCCTTCTACAGGGACTCCATCTGGACCAGTGACATTAGCTGCTTCTGCACCCTAGAAGGCCAAAAGAAAGTAAACCAGGGTGGTGTGAGAAAAGAACAACAAGCTACAGGGAGAAGATAAAACAGGAAAGAGGCTTTTTTGCATCAGTTCCAAGCTACAGAGATTCCTTCTTCCCATGTAGTGCAAAAGCAGGTTTGTTATTCTCAACCCCATAACCAAGAGTTATGATCATGAGTTAAGAGCCTATCAGGCAGACTGAGTTCACAGGAAAAAGCAAGAAGCAACTGATTAAAAGACAAAAAAAAAAATCAAAAAAGCTCAGAAAACTAAAAAAAAACCCAACATGTTTGAGAAAGTAGAAGTGCAAAGAACTTGAAGGTTCTTACAGTTATTAAGCTACCAGACTCCGAGACAAATTCTTCAGGGCAATACATGCCTCAGTTAATGCTTATTGGGCAGGCCGCAAGCTTCAAATGCTCTATCAAGTAAAAATTACAGGTTCTAGAAGCACTAGGATGTAGTTAAAGTAGAGTTTTGATACATATCTAGAAACACTTCTTAATGAAGCCTTTAAAAAACAGATCTTCCACAGAAAAGTTGTATGAATGCCACCCACCCCAGGGATTAACATATTAGACAAAAACACCAGATACACAGCTAAGGTTCTGTGTTATCCCCCACTAGAGTGATGTTAACTCTGTTGGACCACACACCTAAGTCTCCATAATCTCTCACCTTCTCTCCCTCGACCACATCAAATTCTACAGTCTCTCCATCACCAACACTGCGCAGATATTTCCGTGGGTTGTTTTTCTTTATCGCCGTCTTTAAAGAAAGAAGATACAGAAAAATATATTATTTTATCTTACTTATTATCTTAGACATTCATAGCCCTGTAGATGAGGGAAGGACAGTATTCTTCTGCTACAATCCCAACTCCTCACACCAGATCAGTCACCATGCCAAGATATTTTAAATACACAGATGTCTCTCTTATTCCACAGGCCGCCCAATACTCAGTCAAGGTTTACTCCTTTCTCAATACTTATGAATTTACAAATCAGCTGTTGCCCCAGGATCCCCTCTGTCAAATCTACTAAATACCCAGATCATTACAACTTTCTGTATGAAGATTTCACACTGAGTGTTTGATGTCCTGCAAGCTGTACCAAGGCAGCTCCAGCAGCAAGTGTGGCCCATGCCTTCACAGTCATTAGGAGACCTGTAGACCATCTACAGAGAACTTAAGACCATGAGCATTTTTCTGGAAGATGGCATTAACTATAAGGTATCACAGCAACTCATAGTAACTAGAGAAGAATTACTATAACTTTGGTGTAACATAAATAAGCATTTTACTTAAGCACTGTAAGGGAGACCCCCAAAAATTAGGTGAGTCTCTAAAGAACACAGCAATAACACCAGAACAGACAATCACAGTCTTAGTCATCTCCTAGACAGAAACCCCAAAATTCTATTAACAACACGGCTTCAGATCAAAACCGGTTGAAAACCTCCTCAGACTCACAGGAACACTCAAACCTCCCGGAGCGATTTTCAGCCTGTCAACTATGGACGCTTTTCACTCGTGGAGTATTTCTAGGATTCCACAAAAGGAAGTTAGCAAGACAAGCCTACTATCTCTTCATTAGGTAAGGGTTCACAAACTGGAAGAAGCCAGGGGAGAAAAAACCCAAACAAAACCAAAACACACACATTGTACAAGCCAATCTAGTAGCCAGCTTTTTACTGAAGTTCTCGTAGATTATTAAAGACCAATTCACTTTAAGTTTCCTGATATGGGCATCTTCTGTTAGCATGAAGGAGGCAGGTACAGATCCAGCAGATAGAAGCACACACAGAAATACAGGGCACAAATCTGGCTTAAGAAATGCGATGTAGGACAGAAACAGAAGAGACAGTTGTCATATCTGTCTGCAGTTCAAGAGAAACAGGCAGAATGAAGACCAATTGAGTTGTTGCGTGTGCGTGGCAACTATATTCATTCAGTCAACAATAGCCCAAAAGTATTTCCCACTGAAGGAAAAGTTTTAATCAGTTCAAAGTTGAGCTTGACCAGTTTAGGAAAAGTATTCTCATTGTTGCTGAATACAGTCCCCTTTGTGTTTCAGGCAATAGGCCAGCATGTCCTTTTAGTCCCACATCTAGCCACACCTTTCCCTGTACCCTGCAGTGTCCCTGAACAGCTTAAGGAAGAATGCGAGAGTGTACATATTATTGCTACCAAAGCAAAAACAACCCAAGAGGGTTGTTTTTTTTGTTTTTTGATACAGGAAGAGAACGAGCTGCTCAAGTGAATTCTTTGGGGAATTACTTTACAAAGCAGAGACTCCCACCATCAGCTGAGACAGTTCTGTTTGCTTTCCGCTGGCCTATTAGTGTAACTGCCCCATTTCTAAAATCAGCTGGAAGTGCTAGCTTTTCCATAAATGCTATACACTAATACCAAAATCATTATCTCCACTGCAGATTAAGGGTTTAATTCTTTCACCACCACTTGTCCTGAGACAACTGACTCAAACTCGTAAGACTTGTGCTCTGCATATGACAGAGATGTTAACAAGCTGTATTCCAAACTCCTTCGCCGTCCTTGTAAGTGCAGAGGAAGAAAGGACTACCAGATTTCTTTTCACCAGAGGGTGTACTTAAGATTAATCAAGCTCCTCAAACATCCTCCAAGCGTAATGGAAGAAATTCAACAGGATTCCACATGTTCTGTTCCAGCTTTATGGACAGAAATGTCAAAATTCAGATTTGCAATTGAATAACCTGCCAATAGGAGATAGAGTAGGTTGAAGTTTGTTTTATAAAGGCAACCAGGAACAATTTTGAGTAAGTCCTAGAATTCAGAGCAGAAACTATACGGCTTTACTACTTACTACTTCAGCTGCAGGTAAACATTGCTGAAATAAGCCTCTAACAAGCCTAAGCTCTAAGCTTGATGAAAAGACTTTTACTCTGTATATCCACACAGGAGAGCACACTATTCTCCCTGTTACTGTTCACCAGCATCCTGCAGGCTCCAGCTTTTTTAATTCAAGAGACAGATGTTTTGTGTTAACACAGACAGCACTCAACAATTAAGACAGAGCCTTTCCTTTCCCAAGGGGACACCGATGAACAGACAGCTCTAAGAGTCTTCAGAGCTAGTTCAGTGTTTTGTTTGGAAGTTATTTCCATACCCTCATGATATCACCACATCATGTGCACATCCAGCATTGTCACAATAACAGCCGAAATTTATTACACCAGTTACTGGTGCATGTACACCAGGCTGTGCACAATGAATACAAGCCAGTGAAGAAAAAGAAAGACCTGTGCAGAAGAGATTAACTCCTCCTCACTGCTTGTGATTCAAACTATGCCTAATTAAATTGCACTTCTCTGGCTACTGACACTTTTAATGGTGTTAAATTGCAAGACCCTCCTCCCCCCTCCAGACACACTCCACTCCACTAGGCAGATCAATCCCTATTGCTCCCTATTGCTCTAACTGACACAGTGCCCTAGACAGCACCTTGCATGAACCAACCAGCCAAGGATGCAAGCAAGACAAAGCAGGTGAAAGAACTGCCCTTCCCCAAAACACTGCTTGGCTCCCCCGCAAGACAAGGGGTTAATTCAACGCAAGCTATGCATGCCCTAAGGAGAAAAGCATTTTAATCTGTACTAGGTTTATAAATAGCATCCAATAGCCAAGACACTGAGCGTTAACCCCCATTCCAATCATGAGATCGGCCTGTTCCCTCCCTGTTGCGGATGCGTGCCGGGGAGGCAGGGAGGAGGCTGTATCTATTCAACTAGGTCAGCCTTATTCTGAAGGGATTAGGCATGTAATCCAGCTCCTCCCGGGACAGGCACGAGGAGGAGGGGCAGAACCAGCACTAACCATGAAGAGGAAGCTTACAGCAGGATGTTTGCTTACGCAGTGGATTTGCCTCCCTTGCCAGGCGCGCCCCGTCCGCTGGCCCTGCCGAGCCAAGCACTCAGGCGAGAGCTCCAGCCAGAAAACCCCAGGCTCTGGTAGGGAGCACGTTCACATACAGGAACAGCTTGAGATGGAAGAGCTGAGGAACACCGGATTGCAGCCAACCCAGGCCAGAGCTGGAAGCATCTACTCTGCCATGCATAGCCTACCAACAGGATTAATCAGATGCAAGCTTGCACATGATGTGTTATTTCTGAAACATCAAGCCAGTTTTGCTCAGTGCTCACTACAAGAGGATTTCAGCCACAGGAGATGAGAAATAAGTTACCCACAACACACACCAGTTTACATTTAGATGAATAATCTCCACAGGTGAAGGAGACAAAACAACACAGATAATACTAGCTTGCTGTGGGCCTTCATTGTTTGGGTCTCCGCAGGCAAACTTCCCAAGCAGAATAACAACTGATCCACGTTATCTCTGTCATCAGCGAGGATTTCAGCCACAGGAGATGAGAAATAAGTTACCCACAACACACACCAGTTTACATTTAGATGAATAATCTCCACAGGTGAAGGAGACAAAACAACACAGATAATACTAGCTTGCTGTGGGCCTTCATTGTTTGGGTCTCCGCAGGCAAACTTCCCAAGCAGAATAACAACTGATCCATGTTATCTCTGTCATCAGCACAACAACCATTTTCCAGGATATCTTCTCATAGGTCTCAGAGACCTCGTTTGTCTTCAAGCGAGTTTTACAGTGCTCCCTATGCAGAACATGTTCCTGCTACTAGAACTCTTCCCACCTTCTCTGGATGCATTCCCATCAGGCTGCAGATACAGCATCTGTATCAGTGTGCACACAGCACACAGTCATTAAGGAAAGAGGGTGACCATTAGAAAATGGTACATGTATCAAGAGCTCTTGCTCCCAGTCCACCCGCTCAACCCGGAGTGTGTACTGCACACACTTCTGACATCTTCACTCATTACAGGCACTAGACTTACTCCCTCCCAGCTTCATCCATTTTAGGGATAACAGGTCTACACCCCTTGACCCAGAGAAAGTTATCACAGGCTCTTTAGTCATGAAGCCACAAAACCCAGCACGTTTAACACAACTACATATGCACATATCCTCATCCTTTGTGACCAACTCTGAATGCAAGTTTCCTGGTTACATTTGATGGAAATACTGCCAGTTACACCACAGAGAAAGCTCATGCTTTTAAGAATCACATGGGCCTGCAGACATTTCATACGGGACAAGCTCCAGGGGCAATATTTCATTTTCTGGTGAAGCAAAAGTATCAGATGATGCAAAACCAGACCTAAGCCAACTAATCAGTTTATATCAGCATGGAGACAGCATCTTCTGTCTTCCCATTAGTTGCCTGTGACCTGAGAGTCTCAGTATGAACTTAGAACAGGCTACTGACAGTTCAAGGAAAGTTAACCAATGACAAGCTGCTGGGCAACCTCTCTGGGCTTGGGCACACTTGGCACACAGCCTTCCTCCTCTTCTTCCCAAGAGCAGCTGCCTCATGCAGCAACAGCTGATGGCAACCCAGGCTGGTCAAGAGCCAGACCGGATCACTTTCTCTCCAATACCAGGGAGGGCAGACAGAACAGACCTGCAAATGAAGAGGGTAGGAAGAAACGAAAGACACAAGGAGCATGAGGAAGTGGGGGGGGGGGAAAGACAACAAGTAGCAAGGTATTTACAAAACAGAGGAGTCATCACCCCAGGGAAGCGACAACCAAACAAAACTACACCAAAAAACCCAAAAGACTTTAGTGCTCAAATCAGAGCAGACAAAAGAAAGCATGAAGCATAATACCTACTCCTTCAGTTATAACTCCAGAGAAAAGGAAAACACACCCTAATATTCCTCCCTGAAAATTTCAACGTACATGTCCATTCAAGGCATTTGTGGTAAGTATTCTAAGAAACCAGGACAAGGTTGGGTGGCTGTTTCAGGAAGTTGCATTAGAAATCTATCATAATGCACATCTCTAAGTACAATTACTGCTGTCTTACCTGATGAACAAACACATCTTCTTTGGTATCATTTCTGCGAAAAGAAAGTGAGAAGTCGTAAGAGTTTAGACTAAGAGACTTAAATAGAAATCCACGACTTCACAAGTGAAGCCCTCCTTCCCCCAGCCTGTAGTACATCCCCTAGATTCCATACATTCTGTGTAAGTCTATGCTACTAAGACCCTGCTCTGAATTTCCAGGGTCATATGCTTGACAGCAGAAAGGACTCTCCATCCTTCAGAAGGGTGAGAGGACAGGGGGAGGTTCTCTGCAAACTTTTGGCAAGCGTTCAATATTTTGTTTTGACACGGGGCAGAGTTAATGAGTGGACTGCTTGCCTTTCACCATTCCACCCCCCAAAAAAACTTCCACAGGGGCTGCAACCTGAGCTGTTACCCTAGAGGTCAAGCAAGACTATCAACAGGACTGGCCACAGCTGTTAACAGAGCTCTCCTTTCAGTGAAACTCAAAGCAACCATGCACAAGAGGTGTTCAAAAGAGTCCACTGGAGGCGGACCCAGACATGAACATGAGGTTGTCTGGATTAAGGCCAGCCAGTTCAGGCTTCTGCACGCAAAACATGAAGACATGTCTGAGACCTTGATTCTGTGTTCCCATACAACAGAAAGAGCCTAGACCCTGCTGTCTGTTCACTCAATTCTTTCTCTGCAGAGGGAACAGGTGGGTCAAAGAATTTGTGAAGATAATGCATAATCCAAAACTTGTTGCGCTGGACTGAAGTAATAGTAGACTTCAGTTTAGGAAGAAAGCTAACAAGTTATTACACCATATCCAGCTGAAGGCTCTCACATCAACTGCTATGAAAGACTGTAGGAGTACTTCCTAACTCCAGCTTTTCTCCTAAGCTTACATAACACTGGATAGTAGTCTCCAGAGACTGGGATTAATATCGCACCAGATGGCTTCAGATCCATGAAATGGGGCACTTCCACCCCTTTCTACAGTGTCCGACTTACCCAAATCACCTGCTGTGTAACAGTTCAAGGACTTGCAGGACAAAATCAGAGAATCTCAATGTGTATTTAGAGTAGGTAACTGACCAATCAGTTAACACTTCAATTTTTATCCAAAATTATTCCCCCTCATCCTCCAACCTTACTTGCACCTTTAAAAAGAGCCAGGCAGCCATGAAAGAACATACAGCTCTTAAAAGGTGTAGTATGAATAAACACGAGAAACACGTAACAGACCAAATTGTCATGATTTTGACCCTTTCTGTTCTCTTCCCCTTACATACAACCTTTGATGGTGCGGGGGGGGTTGGAGGGTGGTAAGAAAGAGTCCCCTCAGATGATATCAGAGTTTGTTGAATGCCTGGCCAAATCTGGCCAACAACTGCATGAACTTGTAGCCAGGTCCTCAGGTCTCTGCTGCAATTACCAACACATGGCATATTATCTGTACCATGAGTCTTAGTACAGTAAAAATATGACAGTCAAAATTTAAACATACCTGTTGATAAAGCCATATCCATTTCTGACATTGAACCACTTGACTGTGCCAAGAACTTTGGTGGCTGGAAAGAAAAAGTTATAGAAGTTACTCTAAAACATAATGAAGTACAAGAATGTTACAAAAATACTTTTCTACCTGCACATGAAGTCACAACCAGACCTATTCTGCTCCTTTAACACTCAAAGTGTACCTTCATCTCCCACTTTAGTTTATACTAACAAAGTAGCAGGAAGCAACACTTTCACTTGCTATTCTTCAGCCAAGAGTTTACCACACAGCATCTAGAATGAAGTCCAGCTCTATTTTCAGAATTGGCCATCCATCCCTTTTCTTTTTTATTTCTTATCCCAGAAATGTGCAGTGAAGCTGAAAATCCCACTGCCATTCATCAGTTCTCTCTAGCTTAGTAGCTAGACATAGAATCATAGTTGAAGAAAGCTGTTTAAAAGTCCTCTCTTTCACTCAGAGTTATCCTTCCTTTCTTCCTTGGAAACCAGAACTGGCCAAAGAAGCAGTATCAAGCACCATGCAACTCTCTTAAGTGGAGAGGCAGCACATCCTTATTTTGGACAAGCTCTTTCTTGCATTGTCAACATCACTCTAACCAAACAAGACCCCACAAGATGGTGGGGTTTTTTTTGTTTTGTTTTAATATTCCTATTTCTAGAGATCTTCTGTGATTTACCAGTTAAAAACTGACCCACTTTATGTTCCAAGGCTTCTAGGATCAAGACAAGCTCCTGTCTCAACACCAAAACAGCATCTTACTTCGAAGCCATACTGCAGTGTCTTATAGGATCTGGCGAAACCTGTTCCTCCAACATATAGGTACGTGTGGGAGGAACTCAACAGCAATGCAGGTAGTTCAACCTCTCCTTCCCTCTCAGCAACTGGGTGGAGACCACAAACTTGTACTTTTCAAACCTGTAGGAAAGGGAGAATTTTGGGCTCTAGACTTTAATAGATGTTACTTATTACATAGCATGACCAAAACTATCTAAGCAATCTATGTAGTACTTATTTGAAAAGGGTCTAGTCACCTACAGATGACTGCTTGTGAAAAACCTTACATATGTTTGGGAACACATGGGAGGAATCCAAGAGGCAATTAAAAAGAAAACAGTCTAGAGACACTCTCCAGTTCAGAAGTCCAAGCCAGTCTGCTACAGGCAAGAACACATTGCAAATTGTTACCTTCATCTGCTCTACACCTGCATTCTTCCCTAACATCCACTAGGAGATGACAGAGCTAGACAGACCTTTGGTCTCACGCAGTCTTGCCGTTCTTATATACCCCTCTGACAGACAAAAAGAGCAACTTTTTCCTCCTCCCTTGAATACAGAGCTAAAGTAGGTATGTTTGCTGATAACAGTCTGTTGTAGTACTGTTGCTGTTATTGCAATAATAACAGGCCATTTCTCACTGCACTTTTAGACGTGAAGGTTTTGGTCTTCTTTAATTTTTTTTAGCAGAAAATGTTCATATTTAGAAGAAGCAAAACCATGTTAAGATTGAGACATTATTGGAGAAGAGGGCTCTACCTAGTACAGCATCCATTCCCAAGACTTCTTGTTCACAGAGATAAAAACCCTAAGTTTAACTGCCTAGCACCGATTCAGTAACAACAACAGTCTTCAGCATCAACATTTACAGTTGTGCTTTTAGGTTTAGTTTCATGGGGACATCACTAGGTACAGACACTTACTGTTATCACAAAGGCACTGGCTACATGCAAGAGCTTACTGCACTAAGACAAGTCAACAGGGGAAGAAGAGGGGAGGGCGGGGGGGAAGCACAGAAACAGGTGCCAATGGCACATGCAGGTTTTAGCCTGCTTTAAGAAACAAGGCTAATACCACTGATTCCCCCACCATCATCCTTTCCCTCCCCCACAAAATAACTATTGAATCTGTTTGCCTATTTCAATCAGATTAGGAAACCTGATGAAAACCCTCAGAAGAGTCAGAAAGCTGGTGGAAGGACAGGTAGTCAAAACTCACTCTACATGGCCAGCTGGCTGCTGATAAATAGAAGTCCACACATACAGCTTCAGAGCAACATTGCTCCTTTTGCACAAGCTGCCAGAGAGCAGGTGTGAGTCTCCAATGTATTCCCTGAAACAGTGTGCTGGGGAAATACCATTCCCTACCCGCACTAGTCTTACAGTCTCCCCTAAGCATTACCGTGGGGGGAAGATCATCAGACACAATAGCATGACACTGAACATCCACATGGCCATGGTGCAGCCATTGTTAAGCCCAAGCTGTCATAGCAGGGAAATCAGGCAAGCCCAGAGGAAACCATAACCAGTTTTACTGACAAGTCAGAGAAGGCAGTTGATGTGATGACGCCTATCCCACCAGCAAGTGAAAGCCCACATATTTCTACAAGATGCTGTATTCTGATGCTATCAGAGGAAACAATCATCAGCCACTCCTACTCACACCAAAACAGCGTTTTCATTAGTTTTAACAAGGAAAGCCAAAGCTTCCTGTGACCGAGAGAGAAAAGAAAGTTGACTAGCTTTTATCCTTATTCCTAGAAGTCAGACATTTGGATGCCCCGTGCAAGCATCAGACCTTGCTTCTAGTGGGATCTTTGTAAGAAGAGACTTAAGTGAACATAATTACAAGACCACATTTGAGGTGGACTTGAACATAAGTCCATTTTCAATTAGCGTTATCAATGATCACTTTCCTTACAACTCCTGCTAAAAAAAGCTTGCCTAGCAATAAGACCAGTGTGCAAAACCACCACCACGGCAGTTTCCTTTTTCCTGCTAGACCAGGAAAGGCACTTGTGCCTTCACTTCCCCCCTTCCCTAACCCCCCAAGCAATAGCAATACGTGAATAAGATAGAAACATTGCCAAGAATGAAACAAGCCATGTTAAGGCAAGAAGCAGCCAGACATACCAACAGATAAGGATGTGCCTTGACTGATTACCAACAAATCAGATAACAGAACAGGGGAAAAATCATGCAAACCATACCTCCAATTTCTGTTTTGCTAGAATCATTCCTACCTCAGCTCCCGAGAAATCCTTCACCTGGCTCCTCTACCTGCTGCAGTAAGACCTCAGTCCTTCCCTTCAGAAGGGAAGATGCTGTCTCTCCTTAGTGTAAGTTCGGGACTCTACACTAGTAGTCAGCCTCCGCTTTGCCTTACTAACCTCTTAAAGCTACACAGTTGTAAACAGTAGATCCCTATTTCCACTGCAGATTGAAGCCTTGTACTTTTCAACAGGTCGATCCTGTTTAATCACCATGAAAAAACCACACTAGCTATGCACTGGGCTTGAGCAGAGAGACAGCAACTTGGCATTTCGCTTGCCTCTTTATTGATAAAGTAGAAACTAAAAAAAAAAAACCCCGCTAATCCTAGCGGCATTATTAAAGCACTATTCTTTATAGATAGAAAAGTTGTGCAAAGACTTGAAAATTAAAGGGGGGGAGCAGACATGGTTTATCAGCAACACCTTCCAAGGGGAGATGCCCCTGCAGGGCACGGGGCCGGCGGCAGGTGCCGGGAAGCCCATCAACATGGCTGCGCTTCACTCGCTATCCCCGTCCGGCCCCGGAGAAGCGCCCGGGGCCGC